TGTGGATTAACACAACAAAAAAACATAACACTTAAAAATCCATAAGCTGTTGAGTATAAATGAAAATGATATTTATAAAATCGATGCCTTTTACATGCAAAAAACATACAAACAAACTCCGTGCTGTTGCGTTCTGAGCTGAAGATGGCGATAAAAATGAACAATTCTTATGATCTAATACGTCACTTAGGCCTAATGGGAGGCTTTGGGTCATCCCAGCATCAACGGTCACCTACGAAGCTGAAAACACATCAGGTTAGAAAAAAAGATATCTCCCTTCAAAATTACAACGGTCTAGATTTATATTCCTTACATCAGTTCACAAATACATCTAAAAAGCATGCTTACAAACAATTAACTGCTCTTGTATGTTTATATACCTGTTTCTTTTTAGTATATGCCTTATTCACTATATTCTGCCCATACCATCGAAAGGTATCAAACTAAACATTACAAATAGACTACTTACTTAATACGATGACCACTTCCTAGTCACCTCATAGGCTTGTTTTCTGCCTGGGTTGAGATTAACGAGCAGTTCCGTTCCCCTGTTAACGAAAATTACAATTGTAGATTATAAGAACATGGTAGTTGCGGTTGATAACAGTGGTTGATTAATTTCATAATGTAAAATGCAATAATACAATTGTATTTCAACTAAATTTCGATTTTTTATTAAACAAAAAACTGGCAGTCACGAAAGAGAAAATAATTGATAAAACTTAATAATAAAACGAAAACTTAAAAATAACGCAAATACCTTAAGCTTAACACCAATGGCCATTTATCTATTTATTGGACATTATGTTTGGCAAACACGCCCGTAAATAAAACAGCACACGGAATATAAAAAAGCAGAGGCATGGTTAGGGTTGAGGACATTCATTGTGTGGTGTGTGTGTGTGTGTGTGTATGTGTGTGTAAATAAACATGTACATCAATAGATGAATAAATTAACAAACAAAATATACAAACGAAAGGTCCCTTCGACCCTTCGCCTTAGATACTGATAAACATCTTTTGAGAAAGAAAACAAGTGCCAATTACCGCTACTGTTGTTGTTGAATTCTATCAGCTTTTATGTGTATGCTATTTTCAAATCGATTTTAGATCGTTTACCAATAACTGTTTGAGGTCTACCGCTTAAGCTTTAAGCTGTTGATGCGACAGATTTAAATGTAAGTGATAATAATAAAAATTATATAATTAATAAAAAATAATACTAATGATATTAGTAGTAATCGGTATATTAGTAATGATAATAACGACAATAATGATGATGACAATAACAGTAATTATAATAATCCTGTTAATAATAGCGAGGACGATAATGGCATGTCAGCAATACTCCTAATGATATATATATATATATATATATATATATATATATATATATATATATATATATAATTAATTTCGTACAATGAAGCACTCAGAGAACGCATACCTCGACTAATAATAATTCAGTCGTCAAATGTTTTCCCTATCTCGAAATAATAATGGAATTCCCGGAAACGGATCACCAACAAAATTTAATGGCATTTAAGTTGGGTCAAGACACACCTCTGGTTAAAAAAATATATTTATATTTCAAACGTTTTTAAGTTATCCTGCTTAAAACGAACGAACAGACACAAAAACTAACCCACCAACGCTGCCAAAAACATCAACCCTTTTTGGCGGAGATAATAAGAGCCAATACGATCGATAACGAAAGAGGTGTGAAAGAGACAAACCACCTACTTCTTAATGGTTCGCGTGGCTGCGAAGAAAATCTGTCCCTGGTGAATCTGCGGCTTGAGGTTGGCTTCGGAACCGCCCTGGACACCGCGAACGAACCGCATCCAGTTGTATTTCGGCAAGGAAGGATCGACGGGCAGGGTGGACTGGAGGTGGGTCTTCTCTACCTGGAGAAAGGTCGAGTCGGTTGAGCGTGGGATGATTGGCTTTGGTGAGGAAGGGTGGGGGGGTTTGTATGGGTTGGGGGGGGATGGGTGAAGGAGGGGTGAAAGGGGGGAAGGGAGAGTGAATGTATGTGAGAGAGGAGAGAGAGAGAGAGAGAGAGAGAGAGAGAGAGAGAGAGAGAGAGAGAGAGAGAGAGAGAGAGAGAGAGAGAGAGAGAGAGAGAGAGAATGTGTGTGTCTTTGTGCGTTTGTGTATGAGATACAGAGAGAGCGATCGTGGAGTAAGAGGAGGCGAGTCAAAATGAATTATTCCTTAAATAATTTAAACAGGGATTTTAGTCCCATATTACCCCACGCAAATCAACGCCAAAGAGTACAAAAGAATGAAGGGCAAAAAAAGCGAATGAACACAAGCACACACACAGAAGAAAAAAAATATTAATAATAATAAAAAAAGAATCTACACCCGCTCACCCTCATGCAACAGGAGCACTTGCGAGTCTTGGTGGAGTAGGGCGGCTTCTTGCCCTCGTACGGCCCGAAGAAGCTGTTGGCGCCGAGGTCCTCCTTGGCCCAGATGCCCATCTGACCCTCGACCGCCTCCGACCAGCTGAGCGCGAGCATGGGCGGCATGGTCTTGAGTGCGCGGATCTTTACGCAGCCGTAACCGACAGGCTGATTGGGGAAGAGGGAGGGGGGAGGGGTCAAAAGAGATGAAATGGTTTTGATAAAGAGGGAGAGAGGGAGAGAAGAGGGAGAGAAGAGAGAGAGAGAGAAGAGAGAGAGAGAGAGAGAGAGAGAGAGAGAGAGAGAGAGAGAGAGAGAGAGAGAGAGAGAGAGAGAGAGAGAGAGAGAGAGAGAGAGAGAGAGAGAGAGAGAGAGAGAGAGAGGGAAGGGAGTGGCTGAGGGGAGAAGACAAGAAAAATGAGTTTAAGAAAGAAAAACAAGAGAGAGAGAGAGATGAGAATCTTTTTTTTTAACATCTCAACCATAAAACCAAAAAGGAAATAACTCACTTCACAGTTCTTCATGTGTGCGCGAAGGTGAATCACACAATTATTTTGCAGTTTTTCCTTGCCTGGCGTGTCATCTGAGAGAAAAAGTGAATCAGATCACCCGATTATGATGAAAATATTTAATAATCTATTAAGGATAATAATAAAGATAATGCTAATTACAAAAATAATAAAGGTAATTACACATTTGGACAAAATGAAAACTGACGATGTTAATAAAAATAACAAAAACGATATTGTAACTGATAATTATAATGATAATACTAGTAACGATGTTTACATTAAATCTATTAGAATTATTAATTAGAACAATAGCAATATCACTAACAACAGTTACTACTATTATGGTCCCTAACCAGTAAAAATGATATAATTTCACTAATGATAATATCAGCAACAATATCGCTAATATTACGGCACAGAGACTAATAGCGTTAGTGCTACGGCTAATAATGATTTTTTTCTATTATCGCATTATAACAAGAAAGGGAAAAAAATCAATATCGCTACTACTACCACCAATACACCCATTATCACCAAAACATCACTCCTGTAGCTAAAACTACCTAAAACTAGCACCGCAACTACTACTATAACTACTTAACAAACCCTTCCACAAAAAGCATTGCTGCTTCTGGATCAGCGACCACACTGCCCTAAGGACCACAACCAAAATTGAAATCCTAATTCCGCAGTGGGACCCCCCCCCCCCCTCACCGAGCGCCGAGGGCTCCCTGTGCTCGATGACGCAGAGCAGCTCCACCGGGTCCTCCGGCGGCGGCATCTCGCTCCTGCCGAGGAGAGTGGCCTCCTCGCCGCCCTCGTCGCGCAAGGGTCTCTCCTCCGTGAGGACTAGCTTCTCCAGGGCTGGCAGGTTATCTTCGTCTTCCTCCTCCTGCTCTTTCTCTCTCTTCACTTCTACCTCCATCGCCTTCCTCCTCCTGCCGCTCTCCAATGCGAACTGCCATTGGGAGCGCTGCCGCACGCCCTTCACCCACTCCGTGTAGCTCAGGTCTCCCGAGGACTCGCTGTCGATAGTGCTCCCCGCAGCGGACATTTCTGGCTTCCTCTCTTCGGTACCTGCGAAGAAAATAAATAAGTAAATAAATAAATAAAGTAATGAAAAAAATGATAAAACAACCAAAAACGAATAAATAAAATGAATGAATCAACATCAACAAGATACCGATAGCAGCGGAAATAAACCTAATAAATTAAAGTAACGTTGTCAGGGTACAACAGCCGGTCGCCGATTCCACATGCCTTTGCCGTCTCAACAAAGGCAAAAGCTTTGCAAATCAGCTTTCCTTATTTAGTTCCAAATCGATGTTCTATGATGATAAAAGTGGTAATTTTCTATATTACCTTCGCCTCTTCGATATCGACGATTTTGGTATCGTTGGATTCCTCTCACTCTGTACAATCCAAACTTGGCCCGATAGCAGGGGCGACGATGTCGGAGCGGCGGACGTAATATAGAAAATTACCCTAATAATATCACCCACAGTGAAAATAACCATGGTTATTCAGATGACTTTCCATTGCCCCTTGCGGCCGCCCCCCAACCCCGCCGAGGAAACAAAATATCCCCCACGTATTCACGGCAGGATAGAGGGCACATAAACTAGTTGCATCGAGAAAGGCGCAAAACCCGCCGAGCCGACGATGGCGGGCCTCCGCCGCTCTTCTGTTCATGGTATACCTTGTTCATCCTGATTATATTACAATCACCTCTGTATACAATGCTGACTATGTCAAGGTTAGTATGCTGATTCAGTGGGAATGTTACGAGGTAAATGTAATACGTCCGCCGCTCCGAGATCGCCGATAACTGTGTAACGCTCTAGCCTGCCGGGAATACGTGGTGGAGGTTTTGTTTCCTCGGCGGGGGTTAGGGGGCGATAGCCCCCCCAGGGGGGGGGTCGCAGGGGGCACAGCCCCCTGCAATGGAAAGTTATGTGAATAATCATGGTTATTTTCACTGTGGGTTATATTATTAGTGCTATTTAACCCCGCATTTTACCTGGGACCTTTCATGCCCACCCCTGCTATCGGGGCCAAGTTTGTCACTAACGGGTGT